CGTGACTCATAATACAGCACGCTGAACCTCAAATACTATTGTGCTAAGTGGAACAGGCCAGTCAGAAAAGGACAAACACTTTATGGCTCCACTCTTATCGCACAGGAGAGTGGAGAGCAGTCGAGCACGGGGGAGGGAGGGTGGGGCGTTCCTCTTTCATGAGCACAGATTTCAGTTGGGGAAGCAGAGAAGTTGTGCGGTGGATGTGGGATGCTCCTCAACAGCGTGCCTGTCCTGAGTGCCACACACTGGGCATTTAAAACAGCGTAAACGGTGGGCTTTCTGTGTGAGAGCAAACTCTGCCCGTCCCCCTGACCGAGCAGAGGGGATGCAGACAGCTGGGCCATCAGTCCCGGAAGCTCAGGGCGCAGGCTGCCCCCCAGCGTGGACAAATGTCATTCAGGACAGGCGTCCCTCAGTGAGGGGCTGCCCTGGCCACAACTGGCAGCCCGCTCCGCTGCCCTCAGATGCATACACCTGGCTTCTCAGGCCTGCAGTTCTGACCAGGGAGAGCAGCTTTCCTGAGCAGACAGCAGGTGGCACAGCTGCGGCTCCACTTTGGGAAGCAACCCTGCTGACTCTCCGAGGGGTCTGAAACTATTCTACTCGGTCACCTTCTCTGAAGAGCACTGATGCATTCTGTTGGGCGTATGTTACTGTAATTATTTTTATGTTACTGTAATTTTAAAGACAGTTTTTTAAAAAGTTAACCTCGCCTGGCATGCCAGTGAGCCCAGCTCAAGGGCATCCGCAGAGCAAAGGGAGAAGCAAAACTTGGGTGAAAATAGGGAGACCAGGTGAGAACTCACAGGGAGAGGTGGGATGGCCGTGCTGAGCAAGGTCAGACCCTGCAAAGTCCCATGTTCCGTGAAGCCTCACAGAAACGAGACCACAAGGGGGTCCTAATCCTACAGGACCAGCATCTGGTAAGAGGAAGAGAGAGCAAGCTCCACAAGCAGGTGCCCAGGAAAGGCCTTGAGACCTGGGCCAGGCCAGGCCCTGCACTGGGAGAAGATACAGTTCTGCTGCTCAGGCACCTCGATTTATAGGGTTTTGTTACAGCAGCTGGACTGAGGCAGTCCTCCCTCCATTCCCCTCCTACACAGACAGAAAATTGACACTTTATCCGAAGAAACTGAAAGCTTTCTTACCACCACCCACGGAAAAGAACTGCAGCTAAAAACAGGCGAGTGGTCCCTCAGCCACCAGCCCCCTCAGGCAGGCCCATGAGGTTTCGTCAGTTCTGATAACTTTCTCCTAACTACAGGAAAACTGGCAAAAGCACAGATCTAGAGAGAGCCTCAACTAAGAGGAAACCAAAACAAACAGAAATAAAGTTAGCAGAACCAAAAACAAAATACGGAAAATAGAACATTTCAAAGAAACTGTAATTAACATCCATCCTTCAAAAGATAGATGTGGAACCCATGAAAAATGGACAAAGTACTGAAATGAAGGAAAACACAAGAGCTCCTTAAAAAAAAATTAAGCTGAAATTCTCAAATCCAAGGAAAAGACTGAAATTTCCCAGATAGTAGAGCAGACAACTTGTTAAAACAAGATCAGACTTCTCCACATCAACACTGAAAGCCAGGTGGTACTGGAACGCCACACTCGGATGAGTGAGGAAAGCAGTTTCCAATATGGAACTCTCTCAACAGCTGTGAAGTCAAAGGTGAGGGTAAAACTAAAATCAAAATGTGCCCTGTCTCGGCCCACTTCACAGTGCTACTAGCAGAGAAAACCGCATGAGGGACTAAACCAAAAGGAAGCCGGGGCACCCAGAGAAAGGAATTCAACAGAAGTGAAATTTCCAGACCATCAGTTGGCTAGGGAAAGTCCCAAGGTGACAGCTGTGGAGCAGCCTAAGCTTATCTGACAGCTAAGCTTATCTGACAGATCTGCCCAGGCAGAAAATTGTACCAAGGAGCATTTTATGGAGCTGCTCGAGGGCACAGAGAGACTGCCGAGAGAAGTAGGCAGATGAAACACGGAGGTGTGAGATCCAAAGCGAACACAAAAACCTGACATCATAGTCAGCTATTTCTTCAGCAGCGACAAATGCTGGGCCAGATAATGAAAACTGAATTTGACCTAAAACTGTGAACATTATAAAGATGGAGGAAAACGAAGCTAACAAATCCCCAAGCAGCCATTCCTTCAAAATCACTGACGTTTACATATCTCAAATTATTCAGCCCTAAGAAAAGCTTCTATTTTCATTAAGTCCTGTAACTATACTTTCAAGGGAAAAACTCAGTAAAATGGTCTAAGTTTGGTCTTGGAATACTTATTGGGGAAGGAAAAAATAAGTTACTAAGTCCAAAGCAAAACACTACAAAAATTAAAAGATCTAATCAAATTATATTGGTTACTGAAACCACTGGAGGTGCCTAACATCGGATATGTTCAGTTGTTCATCATAAAATAATTCTAAATGTGGGATACTTTCGATGCAGGTCCATTTTCACTTTCTACATTTTTCAACTTAACAATGACCTCTATGGGTATTTCCTGGTTTTAGAATTCTAAAATGTTCTGCACTTCTTCTTTTCATAAAAAGCAAACTATCTTTTACTTGATGCCTCAGACTATCACACAAGTCAGCTGCAGTGCTAAGCTCCCTCGCCTGCTCCCTCCCAGTGGAGATTTCAGGTGGAGACATCAGCCCCATACTTAATCATCCTAGACTGCTGCAATTCTATAATTCTCTCACTCATCCTTCCTAGCTCTCAAATTTACTGTCAATGACCCTTCCTCCATCAGGATTTACCCATCTTTTAATTTGTTATAAAGTCAAAAAAAATAATAATCATGCTTCAGACTCAACATTTACAAAATGCCCTGCCTAGTGGCCTTTTATGTACACGTTTCATCAAATCGGAATATTTTCTGTTAGAATGATAGCCAAAGTAAAAATAAAGCAGTTCTGACTAAGGACTTTTAAAAATGCTAGATAAATAAATATAGGAGTTTAACTGTTTAATGAAATTGGGGGTGGCTAGTTCTTTGGAGGGCTATAATGTTGATTTTGTTTTGTTGAAGGACAGTCTATTTTCCTTGTTTAAATGGCTTACAGCTAACACTGGTTCAGATTATTCAACCAATGCACTATGAATAATTGAAGGGTTGCTGAACTATGTACAGCCAGCCTAGGGCAAAATTAAAAAGAGGCACATACCTGAACAACAGACCCTTGGTCGTCCATGCACAAAGATTTTTACAGAGAAATGAACCTGTGTTTCAAATTAGGATTTGTATATTTGCAATTATTTCTATAATTAAGCTACATGTGTAATCTTGTTTTTTTGGTTTTTTTTTTTTGGTACCGTGGATCAAACTCAGGACCTTGCTCTTGCCAGGCAGGCTGCGGAATCTTGCTATTTTATTCGTTTTGTTTTTTGGTTTTGGTACCAGGGAAAGAACTCGGGACCTTGCACTTGCAAGGCAGGCGTCAGAACCACTGAGCTAAATCTCCGGCCCAGTTGCTATTTTAATATCTCCATTTTTTACTACTCAGTTCAGTTAAACCCAAACTTCAGATGGATATGACTATTTCCCAAGAGAAAAATATCTCCACCATTAAATTACCATCAAGATATTGAAAAGCAGTCTTTTTTTTTCTTTGATTCTTTGCTTTTTCTCAATAAAAGCGCCCTTCTGTCAAAACAACAACCTTACAGAAGAAGTAACATCTAGTCGCTCCTTAAGGAAGCCCCATAGGTCACCGGTAGATGTCCTCCCCCCATCCAGTGTAAAAACTATCACTGCCTCTCTTGGGCCTAAGCCTAGGGCATGGAGAGGGTTCTAAATTAAGTCAAAAGACCATAAAATTCCTCTTTAACAGTCATTTCACTTTAAAGGTTATTTGTGCACCACGCATTTTAAGTCAGAATTATTAAAAATACGTACTTATTTTCAGACCTTCCTATACAATGCTGTGTCCTCACTTCCTCAGAGAACTTACACAAAGCAAATGCACACTTCACACACCAACAGGACACCGTGCTGCATATGGACACATTTCCAGGCACTTACAACTTAAATTTTACATCTAGCCATTAAAAGCAAATACTTGAAAATACAGGCCACCTACAACCCCTCAGTAAGAGGAGTATAAACTCCAACTCCACAACCCCTTTCTCAGAATCAGCACTCCAGGCCGGAGATCTTTACGTTGCACTTGGCTCAGACCTCAAAGCTTCGCTGTGGGCAAAAAGATTTAAAAAAAAAGTAACACTGTTGCTCCATACTCCAGTGTAGCATCAATTTAATTGTGAGAAATAAATCATTCTAATCCAAACAAGTTCAGTGTAAGCTACCTCTAGATCAGCAATAGCGCTTTATTGCTTTTCTCAAAACAAAAAGACCATTTCACCACACTGTGTAGCAATGTTTACTGACAACGAAGATCATCACAAGCTTTAAGCTCGTGCTCACAGACAGACCTAATTTTCAACGAGTCCGCATGCTGTACTCCTGTCAAATCATTAAGCACCCACGGCTACATGGTCAGATCGCCCATCTTAAAGGAACTGCATGACTAGCCCACACTTAAGACCCAAAGTGTGCACAGGACACTTAAGGATCTGCCTTATTCGGATGCTAAAACATTTTGCAGTCTCTTGATCTGGCCATAAAACGTCAGGGCTCCTGATTTTATCATTTGCTGCAGGAAAAAACGAATATGGCTGGAAATTCTGCAGGGTGGCGCTCCTACGAGTGGCGTCTCCGGGCGCGGGGGCCCGGGCGCTCGGCCGCGCGCTCCCTTGCTTCCCTAACGGGCACGAAGCGCTCGGCCCGGGCAGCTCGGGCGACGCCAGCGCTCTCCACACTCCTTTCTGGGAGATTTCTGGTGTCGAGGCGCCGATCGCGAGTCCTCCGCAGTCCAGACCCTCGCCGGGTGGCTTCCGGCCACCCCGTCCCCGCCGCGCCCCCACGCGGGCCCCGCGGCTCCCACCCCCACCCCCTTCCGCTCCCTTCCGGCCAGGCGCACCCACCTCGCGGCGGCGGCCGGCCCTCCCCGTTCTCCGCGCGCGCGGCCCCGCCGAGCCCGTGGCGCCGCCGTTCCCTCGCCCGTTTCTCCTTGGGTCTGCGCGGCGCGGGCCCGGCCGAGGGCGCGGCGGGCAGCAGCGGGCCGGGCACGAGCAGGGAGGCGCCGGCGGGGAGCGGGAAGCAGCTGCGGGCGGCGACGGGCGGCGCGGCGAGGCTCCAGGGCGCGGGGCCGCCGCCGCTCGGAGGCGGAGGGGCCGGCGCCTGCCTGCCGCTCGCGCCGCCGACCCCGTCCCCGTTCACTCGCCGCGGCGCCTTCTTCTCCTCCATCCGGACCTTCTTGGCGGACAGAGAAGTCGGCGGGTCCCGGGAGGAAGACTGCAGCTTGCCGAAGGGCTCCTTCTCCAAGACAGCCGGGGCTGCGGCGGCGCCGCTCAGTGGGCTCGGCGGCTCCGCCATTTTGCGCTCCTGTTGTATTTACTCCGCTCCGCTCCCGGCGCGGGGCGGGGGCGGGGCCACCGGGGCCACCGGCCCGGCCCTGCATTGGGCGAACCGCGTTGAGTGATGCACCCAGAAGCCAATCAGAGACCCTGGCAGACCCGGAGGGGCGGGACTTCAGAGCGGGCCCACTCCGTAGGTCAGAACACGGTGGGGCGCGGCCGCCGCTGGGGTCCGGAGGGGGAGGGTCTGTAGCTGTCGCCCGCGGGAACTCGGGCGCCCTGCTCGGGCTCGGGAAGGACCCGGACCCCAAAATCTGCCCGGCTCGGTATCTACAGTCGCTCGGCTGGGTGAGGCGATCAGACAGTACTGCCGAGATCGAGAACCAGTGCTTGGAGGGCGGTCATCTCCCGCCACGCTGGAACTTTGCGGTCGCTTCCCAAGCCTGACGGTGAGACCCCCGGGCCGAGAGAGGTGCAAAATGGATGCGATCGTTTTCATTATACCTTAAACTCACCGGGAAAACGGATGTGAATAGATGCTTGAAAAGCAAGCAGTTTTAAAGTTGCTGTGTGCTTATAAGGAGAAGTCTGTTTTTGGCTCACGAAGTTTCCTTGTTTCGTCTCCGACGCCCTCGGTGTTGTACATTTTGTGAGCGGTGCTTCGATCTTACTCGGCGAGATGGGTTACAGGACAGTTGCAGCCTTAGCAAGGAGCCTGATTTTAATTTAACTCACCGATCCCTCGTGAGATCAGGGAGTCTAGGAACGAGGTAAAAACAAAAGTGGCCCATTCCGGAGATGCCCACCAGTGAGGGAATTTTAAGACTCATAAGAGGAGCTCTAACTGCCTGTTACTTTCTGGAAACAGTTAAAAGTAACCTTTCAGGACCGGGGATTTAGCTGAGTGGTGCCGCCGCCTGCCTCGAAAGCGAAAGGTCCAGAGTTCTATCCCCGATACCAAAAAAAAAAAAAAAGTAACCTTTCAGAAGGTATCCATTCCTGTAACCTCAGAAAGTTGGAATTATTTGTGTTTCACTTTTCTCTTTATTTTCTTTTAGAATTTTTGGGAGTGGATTTGACATTATTGGTATAGTATTTTATTTTTAAGTGGCTCAGGTTGGTTGGTTTGTTCATTGGTTTTTTTGAGACAGGGTCTTGGTATGTAGCCCGGGCTGACCATCAATCCTCCTGCCTCAGGCTCCCAAGTGCTTGGATTACAGGTGTCCCACTACGCCTGGCTCGGGTTTTTTAAAGTAATAAAATTTAAAATTCTTTCATATCTAGCAGTAGAAAGTTGATCGTTGGACTTGACCGGCAGCAAATGTCCTCGTGCATAACAGCACTGGTGGGAGGGGCAGAGAGGTAAGGCTCGAATCCTGTCCCACTGACCCTCAGGACCTCCTTAAGGCTGCTTCACTGTCCAGACATCTGTTTTCTCATCTGCTAAATGAGTAAATTGGATCACATGATCCTTAAGGTCCTTTCTGTACTCTAAACTTCTGCCATATTCAAGCAGTCTTTCAAAATCACACTGAAACCATTATAAATACATAACAGAATAGCTCACTTTTTGACCCTCCTGATCCAGAAAAGTGCCTTTCGCATTCATTAATGCTGGGCCAGGAAACAAATACCACTCATTCATCTCCCACACAGATTTCCATGAAAATCTGACTTCCGTGGTACTAAGGACTGAGCCCTGGGCCTTCCCACAGAGCTGCATCCCCAGCCCTTGCATTATTGTTTTGAGACAGACTCAATCACCCAGGCTGCACTCAAACTTAGGATCCTCCTGACTCAGCCCTCCAGAGTGCTGGGATTACAGGCATGTGCCACCACCCCTGGCCCAATTTGACTTCTTATAAACACTGCAGAGCCTACCATGGTGGCACACACCTATAATTCCAGCGACTTAGGAGGGGCCAAAGCAGGAGGATCACAAGGTTGAGGCCACCCTGAGCAACACAGACCTGACTCGAGTTACGGGGGGGGGGGGGGGGAGCAGCTAAAGTATAATCTCATCTGTGTGAACCTGTTACTCCTTACACTGTAATACACTGTAGCACACACTAAACTGGCAGAACCTGAGCAAGAGTGTGGCCGCAGAGGCTCATGTACCACCTGCCCAAATATTTAAAAGTTATAAATCAGCTGGGTGCAGTGCTGTACCCCTGTAACCCCAGCACTCTGGACAGCTGAGGCTGGAGGGTCCCAAGTTCAAGTCTAACCTGGGCAAGTTAGTGAGATCTTGTCTCCGATTTTTAAAAAAAGGGGGGTCCAGATGTAGCTCTGCGTTCAGTCCCCAGTACCTCACACACACACACACACACACAAACACACACACAGTTACAAATCACGGTAACAGACCTTCTGTACAGCATTCTGTTCTGCCTTGATGGACCCACTTGCTAATGATCTGGAGCCAGGTTCCGATTCTCCCAGACTCCTCAGCTTGCCAGGCCCATCCCACGCTCTTCCCGTCCTGAGCCCTGAGCTACGGCAGACAGGCCCCTGTCAGGACTCAGCGTGCGTGGCCCCCGCGTGGCCCCCGCCTCTCCAGCCTGCGCGGTGCCATCGTGCAGAGCGGTCGCTTCTGGCTGCTCAGCCCGGGCCCTGTGACTGGAAGCACAGCCTCCTCTGCCTGCACTGCTGGGTCCCAGTTTCTTTCCTTCTCCCTCAGTTTGTGCTTTCCCCTGGTTGGTGTTGATTCGCTGAGCACGTCGCCTGCCCTTCACAGCTACCACCCCCCAAGGGATGGCGAACCTTTGACAGCTGTCAGTACAACAGCTGCCGCGGTGCACATGCTGTAGGTTTGTCACCCCGTCCGCATCCTCCGCTGATCCATGGAATCTGAGCCCTGGCTGCCCGCTGAGAGCAGACGGCGTCTTCCTCTCTCTATCTCTCTCCCTGTCTCTCTCTCTTTTTCTTCCTTTCTCTCTTTGTTTTTGTTTTGTTTATTTGGTTTGGTTTTTAGTTTTGTTTTTTGAGATAGAGTCTAGGTAGCCCAGGCTGGCCTCAAACTTGCAATCCTCCTGCCTCAGCCTCCTAAGTGCTGCCAGGATTACAGTGCTACCACACATGGCACAAACTACAGTGTATTGTTTTGTTTTGAATCCTGGGGTTTGAACCCAAGGCCTTTCCACTGAGCTACATCCCCAGCCCCTTTAAAAAGTTTTTTGTTTTATATTTCTGAGGCAGGGGTCTTGGTAAGTCACTAAGTTGCCTAGGCTGGGCTCGCACCCTGACCCAGGCCTCTCTCCCAAGTCCTGCGTGACACTGCTCACCTCAGGTCTGCACCCCCCTCTCCCCAGCCTGTGCCCTCATCACTCAGCTGCCCCAGGCGCCTTCCCTGACTGTTCCTCCCCGCCAAACATTCAGTCAGCAAACTTCTCAGTTTCTCTTCTCCGTCTGCACTCTGGCTTCCTGCCTCCAGCCTCAAGTTGGTGGGTTTTGTGTCTACTGTGCGTCTTCTCGGCTCTCCTCATGCTGCCCCATCTCTGAGTCTGAAATGGGGCCTGACCTGCTCCTGTCCCTCCAGGAGCGCTGTGCACACGCTGCCGCCTGGGCCTGCTCTCTGGCAGCTTCCCTCTGTCCTCATCTCTTCCGAGCTCGTGAGCCTTCAGTTTCTTCTGGCAAGGTTCTGCTTCTCCCGCAAGGCCGGCCAAGGCCTCTCCCTGGGCTGCGGAGTCAGCGCACTGGCTCCTCGCAAGTCTGTGTCTCTGTTCTGCCGGGGCGTCGGGCAGGTGCCTCTGCTCCCAGGAGCACTGTGCTGTTCCTGTCCCTGTGCTCAGCATCTGGGGCAGCTCAGCGCTCAACTGATGGTAAGTTTTAGAGACCAGAACTTGTTTCCTCCCCAGTTCTGGAGGCTGGGACGACAAGGTACAGGCACTGTGGGCTTCAGCTATCTGGTGAGAGCTATGTGGCCTGTAGGGGGGCGCCGCGTCCACCACGGGGAAGTGGACAGGGGCCGCACTGCTGGTGTAACCCACCAAAGCAGTGGGTTAAAGAAAGGAAACGAGCTGTCTGGACGCTAGGTAATAGGAAGTGGTGAGCACAAAGGGAAGCTGGCTATGCAGATATTCCTGTTTGTATCTGGGCGACATCCCAGGAAGCGCAACATAAATTGAAAATACAGTGTGCTGGGGTGCACTTAACACACCTAACCGCCAAACAGCACGGCCAGCAGCCTGTGGCTTGGCTGTCGGTCGCTTCTCCTCGCGATGCCCAAGGTCTCCAGAGAAGGAGACAGCTCCAGCCCAGGGGGAGAGCGCAACTCACGTCCTGACGCACCCACGTCCCGCTCACACGCCATGGCGTCTACAGGTTACAAATTACAATCTGCTCCTCGAGTGGAGATAAAACTGCCCTGCGTGCCAGGGAGAAGCTTCCTGAGAAACTCTGTGAGCCGGGGAAAGGGCTGAGTCAGCTCCGAGGCACCATCTGCCAGGCTCGCCCCTCGGTCTGTGTCAGTGACTGGCCCTGCCCTTGCTGAGGCGGGAACAGACGACGCCAAGCCCGCAGACCGGGCCTCCAGGCGCTGCAGTCTCCCGGGGGCAGCACTCGGAGCCGCCTGCAGTCCGGTTTCTCTAACTGTCCGTGCTCCTGAGCGGAACCGAGTTTTCATTCTGCGAGTGTGTAGCTCTCCGGCCTGCGCCCCGTTCCTGACGCCCTTGAAGGAAGAAAGGAAGTCTCTCTAGGGCCCCTGTACAGTACTTTACCCAACCATATACTAACCTCAGGCATATTTCTTCTACCTTTATTTTTTTACTATTGCTTCTACTTTTATGATACGGATATCTCAAAGGCTACCTCCACCATAACAGTCTGTTCATCTTTATGTATCTTTCTTATTTAAAGCAATCACTTGCCAGTTGTCCTGGCTGCCCAGGCTGGGCTCGAACTTGTGACCCTCCTGTCTCAGCCTCCCAGAGTGCCAGTATTATAGGCATGCACCACCACTCCTGGCGTAGTTCTGTGTTTTCAAAAAACTGAGCTTTTCAACTTTCACGCTTTCATTTTGACCACACTCTCAGTAGAGTCCTAGAGAGGGCAGCAGGTTACATTAGGGTTCAGGACAATGCTCTGTGCACGTGGACCACTCCTCAGATGTTTAGTGCACCAGCATCCAATCCTTTGAAAATTCACACAACTCACAGTGCATTCTATGACTCTTTTCCAAGGGTGCAGTAGTAGCTCTAGGTGAATACTCCCTCCGTCCAAACCTCACCTGTTGAAAAGAAGATTGAAATTAACTACAGAAAAGGAAACCTACACTTTAAGCCTTTATACTGACAAATAAGATCCTGCAAAGTATGGTGTCTTGGTTTCCATGTGTGACAAGAGAACATGTTGGACCATAGATTTTTTTTTTTTTTGGTACTGGGGATCGAACTCGGGACCTTTCGTTTGCAAGGCAGGCGCTGAAACCACTGAGCTAAATCCCCGGCCCTGGACCATAGATTTAGCATTAATTTTTTCAGCATCCACCAACACTGAGCTTCGAAAATGACTATGCAAATCCTTTCCTGCATACCAATTATAGTCATTAGTAAGTTTAGGAAGTAAAACTCTCATTACAAGAGTTGAGGGAAACTACTAGAACTATACTACTAGTAGAAGTATTACATAAAATAGCTCTGGAGGGAGAAGTAAGAACTAATAACTGAGATGTGTTACACACACATCACAACTCCTCATGATGAATGTAATCTTTACTGCAAACATGTACTAATAAAAAATAAAATTTTAAAAGTGGATTTTTTTTTTTTTAAAGAAAAAAGCAATTATTGCCAGGCATGGTGGCAATCCTAACTACTGAGACAGAAAGACTGCAAGTTCAAGGGCAGCCTCAGCAACTAAAGCAAGATCCTATCAAAATAAATCAGTAACAAGTCCTGGGGGTGTAATTTCAGGTTCCCTGGATTCAACCCCTACTACGGCAGAAAAAAAGCGGGGGGAGCAAATATTAAGAGATTGAGTAACAGGAAAAAGTTTAAGTAGCCAAGTAATGTTTGTTTAGTAATATAGTATCCAAAACTAACATTCTAAATGAAGGGTGAGTGTGGCAGCCCTGGGGAGAATGGTCAAATCTGCCTGCCGATGTCACTGCCTTGGGGTGAGGAGCGAGCCCTGTGGCGTCAGATCCTGCAGCCCACAGTCTCGGGCATCAGTGAGCCGCAGAGGCCCTCAGCTGTCCACCCAGGGCTGCTTCTGTTCCCTCAGGGTCTCAAACAGGCCTCGCCTCACCACAGTTTCCGTGTTCAAGACTCCGGGTTTGTATCTCTCAGCCTGACTGAGGCAGGGTAGAAGCAAAAAGAGATGGGGTAGGAAAAGGACAGGGAAACCCCAACTTCAAGCTGTACTGTTCCAAGACTGGGCCTGCGGCCGCACACACAACCCCCAGTGACATTAGGCCGAGGCTCAACGGCTCCACCTCCACGGAGGAGGTGAGAAGCTGGAGGCTGCTCCTGAGACAAAGGAGCAGGTTGTGGGGCCCAAAGAGCGCTTCAGTGAGCTGATCCCCAAAGGCCGCTCCCTGCAGAGCGGGCTCTGCCTTCCCACCCTGCGGGGGCTGGGACGCCCCTTCCTCCTCCCGTGGGCCCGGTCCCTAATAAACCCTCCCTGACGGAAGGCGGGGCCCAGTTCCTGACTGCAGCTTCTCTGGGAGCCCGGGACACGACTGCCCTGCCTGTGACCCGAGTGTCAGCTTCTCCCAGGGTCGCCAGTCGGACCCACGGGAGCCCTGCAGCCCCAGCCAGGGCGGTGTCCCTCTTCTGACCCAAGCCCTGGCCGAGGCGCCTGCCAGAGCCTCCCTGCCAGGTGGCCAAGGTGGACACGGCGGGGAAGGCGGGGAAGGCGCCGACGGTGGGGCAGGAGCCCGTCTGCCTTCCCATCCGACGCTCGCTCGGAGAAGGGCTCTCGTCATCAAGACTGAGTGTGCAGGTCGTGTTTTTCTCATCGAACATTTCATGTAATTCAGCTAAACAATTCTCACCTCTAAGGAGTAATCGCAGTTTACACAAACACGGCCTAGCCGCTTGCTCACCACAGTCCTCTTCCCAGCTGAAGACGACGTCCCTAACCTCACGGAAGGCAAGAAGACTAGACGCACAGCAAGCTGGACGTTGGCAGGGAGCCGGGTGTGGCGGTCACACCTGTGAGCCCAGCACTCAGGAGGCTGGGGCGGCAGGATCACAGTGAGTTCAAGGCCAGCCTGGGCTACATAGGGAGACCGTGTTTCAAAACAAAAACACACAAAAAAGAAGCTGTCAGGAGGGAACAGCCAGCTGACAGTTTCCCTGGCAGCAGCCAACCTTAGAGCAAGGAGCAGAAGGAAGCGGAAGGGAGCGGGGCAGAGTGGAAAGTTCCCCAAGTGCCTCTTGTGGGGGTGCTTGTGCTGCCCAAGCTTAGGGACAAGGTCTTATGTTGTCCAAGCACGCAGCAGTCCTCCTGCCTCAGCCTCTGGCGTGCTGGGGTTACAGGTGTGCACCACCACAGCCGGCTCAGATGTCTATTTAATTTCATTGTATTTTTCAGACACCTATTTTAATAATGGGATAGGAAGCCCGGTACAAGCACAATGGCAGCCTCACTAAGCGGTAAAAGCCTCTAAAAAGGAAGCCTGGATTTGTAACTCTGGCCACCCCTCGAGAAGAGGGACTGCCTTAGCCCCTAGGCTGCTCTGATCTGTGCACCTTCACCTCAGTCAAGCAGAGAAAGCGCATCTGAGAAGAGGTCTCACCTTGATGGCTGTCTGCTTCGCCCCAGGTTTAAAAAGTTTTCCAAGGCAGTTTTCCAACTGAGTTGCGAGTCCATGTTCGCTCAGACCCTAGAGCAGCTTTCCATACTGCAGGAGGAAGCAGATGTCTGAGGAAAGCACGGCACTGTGAACTCACACGCTCAGCACTGTCAGAATACTCGGTTAGAGTGTCACCCTCAGAACGTGCCGCTCCCTGTGGGTGCTGCAGGTACCAGTGCTTTCCCCTGGCACCGAGCAAGACACAGGTGTCTGCGGGGAGGTGCAGGGCTGAGGGAGGGACAGACGGACACAGGGATGCTACAGGTGAGGGCTGCAGCTGGTAGAGAACTCGGTAACAAGGCCGTGACCATGACCATGAGCTGTGCCGAGGGATTGGGGCGGGGAGAGGGTGACCTACTGGCAGGAGACTGCAGTTCCCTGTAAGTCCTCTCCTTGCTGGCACAGCCCAGAAATTATGCAACTATGACCGGCACAGTTATTGTTTCATTGTTTTAATTTTGCAGGTCCTTTGAAAGGCTTGCCCATGGAATTTATGTAGAGTGCCATGAAATAACAATATATTTTACCTCAGATTCAAGAGCTGGCTTTTCTTAATCCCTGGGACGATCATTTCTTCCCTCTTTACCCCCTGGCCTTCCTTTCTCCTCCCGCTCCGCAGGGAAGGAGCCCACACATCAAGGCAGGAGCTCTGCTCCTGGGCTGCACCCCCAACAGATCAATGATTCCTTCTATAAAAAGGAATTACTCCTGTACCATTAGTGTGAAAATAGATGCATAATTAAAACAGCTGACGAATCATCAATGAAAGTACCACTTTTTAGAGTTAACTTTTAAATCTAACATGAGCTACAATTAAGGATTTTTACATTGGGGCCGGATTTAGCTCAGTGGTTCTGCTGCCTGCCTTGCAAGTACAAGGACCCAAGTTTGATCCCCAGTACCCCCCCCAAAAAAAGAATTTTTACATTATAATTCTTATGCTTAGGATTTTAATCCTATCTTTTCCCTATTTAGTCCCTATATTTGATGTCAGTGAATGGAAAACACTAAATTCCAGTCTAATGTAACTGGAAATTTTTTCTTTTCTTTTTTTTAACAATGCAAAACTACCGGGCTCAAAACTACTGCTTTATTTTTACTTTATGACTCCATGTTGGCAGTACTTAATGGTTACATTCGTCATGAGGAGCTGGTGCATGCCCTGAACACGTCTCTCCCTCTGTCTCTCGATCTCCTTAACAGAGATTGTTTCCCTGTCAGCAAAAGCACAGAAAGGGAAGTAAAACTCAGCACCAAGAGAGCTTGATTACCACGCCGTGACCCTCAGGCTCCAGGTATGCCAAGTCCACCTTGATAACTTGATGCCAAGAAGGAGGCTTTCTGCCTGGAAATTCTGTGCGCTGGGCTGGGCTCTTCCTGGGGCTCAGTCACACAGCCTGGCCGCCGCCTCGGTCCAGGTCTCATGCGTGAGGCCACACGCTTGACCTTGGGGACAGCAGGCTCCTCAGCTGTGAGGAAGCCAGCACACAGGCTGGGACACCGAGGCCTGGGCTCCCTCTCCAGGCTGTTTGAGGCTGGCACCAAGGGCAGTGTCTCTGAGGTCCTCACAAGGAAGAGGCCTGAAGTGATGCAGCAGTGATGTGAGCCGCGGGGCTCTCATCCTGCGCGGGATGCTTGGAAAGAAGGAAATCACAGGGCAGGGAATTTAGCTCAGTGGTTTGACTGCCTGCCTCGCAAGTGCAAGGTCTGGAGTTCGATCCCTGGTACCAAAAAAAAAAAAAGGAAATCACAGAGTTCAGAAACTAAATGCCACTTCTGTGGCTCCAGAGAGTGGCATTAAACAAAGAAATGTGAAATATTAGTGGCAACTGGTTATTCTTTTGTGGCAGTGAAGGACATCATTATTTTTATTTCTCTCAGTAGACTGTCTGAAAAGTTATGATAACTGGAAGCATAAGTCATATTTACCTCAATTTATGTTGCCTCTCCATAGCCTGTTAAATCTGTATTGACATCTTTACTACTTTTATTTTGCTAATCAACAATATTATTGCTTTGTGGTATTTCTTTATTCTGTGGTATATAACCCCGTACACGTGCATTGTGTCTCCTCCTATTTCTTTTTGTTTGTTGTTTGTTTTTTGAGACAGAGTCTCGCTATGTAGTCCAGGCTGGCCTCGAACTTGAAGCAATCCTCCTGCCTCAGCCTCCTGAGTGCTGGGATAACAGGTGTGCGCCACCATGCCCGGCTCTTCCTACTGCTTTATCCATCTTCCATCAGTTTGTCTTCAAGTAGCTCTTGGAGAGTCTGCTTTTTCTTCCTCACCACATACACGAAGTGTTCGGTCCGCACATGCTTGTTAAGGACCTGCACGTTTCCAGCCCTCAGCGACCTCCAGAAATGCAGAGGAGCGAGCAGATGTCGCTGTCCTCACACCGCTCGCTGTCACTGCGTCCTCTGTTCCCCAGTCGTCTTCTCACTGCTGCTCTGCGGCCCAGGCCTCGGTCTCCTTCCGTGCTGATTCATCCACACGAGGAAGTGTCCGTCCGCGGCACCTAGACGGCGTGGCAGTGCTGTTGGCGATGGAATCCAGAAGGTGGCGCTCGGCAGATGCACGGCTGGACAGCGCGGCAGGGCTGTGGGCTGGCTCGGGGACGGGGACGGGGGACAACACGGAGGAGGCGGAGGAGCGCCTGCCTGGAGAAGTGAGAAGAGGCGGGGGAAGGGGGGGGGGGAGCGGGCAGAGCTGGAGCCGAGAGGGATGCGAACCAGGGCTAGGAAGGAGCGGGCTGTGCTCACCCTGGGCGCCCAGATGGGGAGGCCTAGCAGTGCACAGCTTTGGCTGCAGCTGCTGGCCCTGTCCCGGCCCAGTCCCGACCTGTCCCTGACCTGTGTCCCGGCCCTGTCCTGGCCCCGACCTGACCCTATCCTGACCCTGTCCTGACCCAGCCCTGTCGCGGCCTGGCTGCCTTTGTCCACAGACCCTCAAGCTCAAGCTCAGGCTACTGTCACCACTTTTCCTCAGACCGAGACAATGGCAAAGTTTGAAATTTGAGGTTAGATTTGCCTTTGCTGCTCCAAAATATTTCTCAGAATTTAAATTGCCAGGGCCAGGGATTTAGCTCAGCAGCACCGCACCTGCCTCACAAGCGCAAGGTGCAGAGTTCGATCCCTGGTACCAAAAAAAAAAAAGTTTAAATTGTCAGATTAATTCCACTTAGAGGGTTATTGTAAGTTTATTTCTTTTCCTTTTTTTGGTAGCAGGGATCGAACTCGGGTCCTTGCGCTTGTGAGGCAGGCAATGAAACCACTGAGCTAAATCCCCGGTTCCATGAGCGTATTTCTTATTTGAAGCATAAAATATTTTGAAATTAAAATTGGGAAATAATTTGATGGTTATAGAACAGTACTTCTAATTTTCTACTTTAAAAAAAATGAATATTTTTTGAAGATATTTTACCACATATGCAGAAGCAAAAAAAAAATTAAAGGGGAAATACCTTTAGAATACTGTTAAGCCAAGTAAAGCCAAAGAAAGTTAAACTAATGGTAATTCCTATAGAACAGATCACTGTGTGTGTGTGTGTGTGTGTGTGTGTGTGTGTGTGTGTGTCCCCATACCTGGGATCAAACTTAGGGGCTTGCGCTTGTGAGGCAGGTGCTGCACCACGGAGCTAAATCCCTGGCCCTTAGGTCACTGTTGTTGAAAAGGAAAATCTGAAAGTGGAATCTGGTTTTGGTGTTAGAGTAAACCTTTCTTTAATTTCAAAAAGTATGCATTATGTACTTAATTTATGCTGAACTCCACTTTAATCCCTGGAAATAGAAACAAAGCTCTTCCTAGAGGGCTTGCCTTGCAAGATGCTCTGTGGAGCCTTGTGAAATTGCCCTGTGTTTATAGGTCACCAGTGGCAAACTACTGGTTCAGCCTTACCTCGTCTGGAAGCAGGAACGGTTCCTACTAACGCTGGAGACACAGGCCCTCAACACTGCAGAGTGGTCCAGGCTGCCCGGGTGGGTGGATGCTGCAGGCTCCGCATAGGAGATGACAGGAGCTGAGCTTCAGAACATAATTGGGAGGCTGGGTGTGGTGGTGACACCTGTAATGCCGGTACTCGGGAGGCTGAGGCAGGAGGATCACCTCAAGTTTGAGGCCAGCCTGAAGTATACAGTGAGACCATCTCAAAAAACAAAAAATCAACAACAACAAAAAGATGCTGCAAATCTTTTATCCTAGAGCTGATGCTTGGAGTTGCTTCCCAGTGTGGAAGTGGACTCATGAGAATCATCCATCCTCTTTAATTTCTGCATTCTGTGCCTTACATCCATGTGGTCAAGAATAGAATACCTATGGCTCCACAGAGTACGCTTCTCCGCAGGAGCTTCCCTTTCTCTGCAATTGGCACTGTGCTTTTACCACAATTTCTTTTTGCTCTGCTCATGGAACTATACCTTTGCACCTTCAGGCTCTGAGAGCCTCCAAACCTGGTTCTCAGGGCAGTACCTGTGTGTTTCTCCCTCCGTCAGGACTCAAGTCCTGGGCCTGGATGCTGATAGATGTGCAGAAATGTGAGGAACCTGAGCCATGTGGGAATATTTGGGACAGTGGTATATATAGACATGCACAGAATCCACCCCAAAAACGTGTACATCCTTGCATAGGAAAAGAAAGACAGTGTAATGTTTTTTCATCAGATGGTGTTGCCCTCGTATGGAGGACCCTGGAGGATGTCGTATATCACAGAAAACCCACTGCCCTGCTGGCCCTTAGGGAAGCGATTGAAAATGCACGTGCAGCAATCTCAATGACCAAGGCTCCTCAGGCAGCAGTTTGTCACACTAATCAATGTCTGGAAGCTGATGGCCACCACTCTGAGCACCTCTTGTCATTGTAGAGGCCAAAGGTAACTTTATTAATCTCATGATGTCTCAATCCATTTAGTATTAAAATATTTATACAAGGCTTTCTAAAATGTGCATACATTTTTGCCAGATAGTACAGGTTATAAAGGAAATAAAGAGGATTTTACACTGGGAATAGACTTTAAAATAGAACTGGAAAAGAATGGGAAGTGAAGAGGAAAGCATTGTGAGCAGAGAGGGGTTTGTGCAAAAGCCCTGGGTAGGAAAGAACTGTGCCTGAGGAACAAGGCCCTGGGTTCCAGCTGGAGAGGCTCTCTCTCCTGTTTAAATGGAGTATGTGGCGCTGGGGATTTAGCTCAGTGGTTCTGCCGCCTCCCTTGCAAGCACAAGGTCCTGAGTTGGATCCCCAGTACAAAAAAAAAAAAAAAAGGACTTAAATGGTGTACGTGACATAATGGGCAGTGAGGAAATGTGTGTGTGTGACCGAATGAATATGTGTCTGCTTAGGGTTCAGCAAGTATATTTGATTTAGAGAAATGGGCAAGGACCAGACCATGCCAAGCCCTGTTAGAAATGGGAGGATCAAAGGCGGGGTGGGAGGATCAAGCCAGGCCAAGTGTTACGAGCCTATAATCCCAGGACTTGGGAGGCTGAGGCAGGAGGATCATGAATTTGATGGCAACCTGGGCTACAGACAGGTTCAAGTCCAGCCTGGACTTTGTAGTAAGACCAAAGAAAAGGGGAGAGGGAGGTGTCAAGTGTACGTGTCCTGGAAAACCAAGGAATGCTAATGGGGGCGGGTAATAGGGCCTAACTGACATTTACTAAAATCACTCAAAACTGCTGAGCAAGTGTTTGGTAGGGAGCAAAACCTGAAGACGGGAAACCAGCTGGACGGTGGGAACTGGGGCCGGAGAAATCGGCCCAGTTCGAGCCGACGCCACTGCCCTAACTTCCTGCCCGCTTTGCCACCTGATGGCTGAACACGGTAACCGTACCCACTTCCTCTCTGCACCCCGAGGACCCCAAGCCCCTCAAGCCCCAGACACTCCTGGAAGGAAGACAGCCTCGGGCTGGGAACTTAGTCCGGCCCTAAGACAGTCCTTTCACAGTGTCTCCTGGGTCCGTGGGGGCTGTTGTTTTAAATGAAGTCACAAGAACATGCGTTATCCTACAAAATAACTGACTTGGTCCTGGAAAAAAGAAAAAAGTGGCAAAGAGGAAAAAGCAAAGAGACAGCCTGGTGTCTAGTGCTGTGTAGCAACTGTCCCACTGAGCAGCAGTTCTAAGAGGTTTTATCACACAGAGCAAATGCAAGGGAAAGGGGTTTCTGAAGAACTCCTAAGTACCCGTGAAGTTT